GGAATCCTTAATCATAGGTGATGATAACATAGGCATGGTCATGCGCAGATGGCGATGTTTTGCTTTGCTAATTACCGTTCAGCGAGACATCGTAAGGTAATGATCTTCATCTATGAACGAAACAAGGTCAGGTGCGAAACTTGTAATTTCTTTGTTTCAAAGAATCAGCAAGTTCAACGGCCAATGACGTGTTGATTAAAATTTAATGTAAATTGCTATAACACGAAGGTTATGTTTAAAAGCACTTAAGATTTGTACTTCGCAGGTGCGTAACCTGCACTATTTAAATAAAGCGCTAAATCCTGTGTCCACTAATTTGATTATCTTTTCTAATGGGCTAAGAGTCTTAACAAAATAGCTTCAGGACTCATCCATTAGTATTTTTTCCGTCCACTCTCTTACGCTAGAGGTGTCGATGCTGTGTCTAATGCGGCTGTTGGTGGGGGGGGCAGGCACGTTTTCTTTTGGTGTAGGCAAGTTGGTCCGCGGTAAAGAAGAATATATAAATGAGCTTCTATATTGAATAGTAATTTAGAAGTTAAGACCTACTACTTAAGAAAGTGGTCACACAGAATCTCTCTAAAATTTTCCAACATCTTCCTTTTGCGTTACGCCGCTCACTTTGATTCGAGATATAGGGGAATTGGGCCCTTAGTCAGTGAGGTTACTGCGCAGTAGATGTGAGGTGCAGTCGACGAAGACGAAAAGATGCTAGACAGCGGAAATAAATACGAGAGGAAATTATTATAGATACAACTAAAGCAGCTACTTGTTCCTCATTTTTTTTCACTCTCTTCTGCAAGGAATATTTATATCTTAACTTCCTTTTGGTGATGCTATTCGTTTTTTTTAAACTGCGTTACAACGAACGCGGGGGAAGTAACACCTTTGCTCCACTCCACCTAACCATTTCGTATAGTGGAGACCACGGTGAATTTTATCTACTCGATACACATTTCGCTCAAAAACTAAAAGATTATTTAAATGCAAGATGCGGTTGCCCTACTGGCCCGTGCAGCCATGTTACACATAATTTATTGTTTACTTACTTGCATGTAAATAGAAATAAATTATGGCATGGGTGAATTTTAAGTGGTAAGTTTAAGCCACATATGTCCGTTAAGAATGAGCCCAGGACGGGCGATACTAATTTTAGGTCATTCACAATGTGCAGACAGTTATAAAATTATGTCAGTGCGATCTTGTCGACACCATTTTGGTTGGAAAATTGTATTTTCTGTGATAAAGTAATAATTGCTGGCCCATAATGCATAATTAGGCAGATTTTAAGTGATGACTTAGGAGAATCCAGCATTTGATAAAGACGAGAATTTGTCTTATGAATTTGGCACTTAATTGTCAATCACAGAATTACTGTGGACGGCAAATTAAATGTAAATCAATTATTAGAGGGAATGCGTAGGCTTGTATCAATAAATATGACTACCATTTAGAGAGATAAAGGGAGATTGAAGGCATGTGCATACTGTATTTCCCGTTCTACGCACTCACCAATTCCGCTACTGCCTAAATGGATTCTATATACCCATGGCCTCATCAGCGTCAGCGTCACTCGACTTCCTAAACTTAGAATTGCCAAAACTTACCTGAATTAAAGAAATCATCCCCGAAAAGTGCATTACATTCGCGCCAAAACTGGTGTCGGTTTAGAAGCGTCGGATACTGTAGTTGATACACGCGTCGAAGGAGAATCCGAAACCAGAGGAGAATATACTTCTGGTTATCGAGCCTTCTGACTCTGTCCCGTCAGAATGCGCGCTTAAACTCGTGAAATTGGGCAAGGTCTGACGGCCCCTAGTTTAGGGGTATTATAAAGTAAACCTCATCCCAATCAGATTATAGCACACATTTCAAAATCAATACATTTCCAGTAATATGATTTGTCTCTGAATGGCCAGAAGACCAAAAGAAAAGAAATTCTGCTAGAATTTAAACACAAAATAATAGGACTGAAAGTGGTGTCCATATTCGACTGTACTGTCTGCTACCACAAAAGTCTTATCATTCTTCATGACAATGATTGGTTTAAAACAGCGTGCTTTTGGATAACTAGTCCCTCAATAACCTAGGTAACATAATATCTCCGTGAAAAAACGTCCTTTAGAGAAGATATCATCCAGATATTTTAGTATATCACATATATACTTCGATATAGAAGTAGAAGGCGTTGCGATCACCGAAATCACACTTTTACTTGGCTGAGCTTTCGGGCTTCTTATAGAGTCCATCGTCAGAGATAAAAGGCGTACACGAAAAACAAGCAACAGTTATAGGACGTAGGGACCAATCAACCGTTATAAGGGAGGGGGAAGGGGGGGGAGGGAGGGAACAGTCAACTGATAGTACCATCGTTCCGAAGCTGCCTACGCAGCGCGATGTATGCCGGCGCCAGATCGATAAATCGATTGACTGAGTTCTCATCCGAGGTCCAGGCTTCGATCAAC